CACACACACACACACACACACACACACACACATGCACGCACACACAAAATAAATAAATAATTTTTTTTAACTCTCCAGTTTTGAAGAATTTAGCCTGCTGCTCATTCCGTCAGGCCCAGGCCCCTCCTGGACAGTCACACACACCTCACAGCCTTCCCATCACTGCTCCTGCCCAATGTAGCTGAGTCAGCCAAGGCCGAGTTGCTCCCCCTCAAACTCCAGGAGGCAGGCAGATCCCAGTGCTGGCTGACCCTGCATGATCCCCCATTCTGCATCCTAGATAATCCTCAAGTCTGCCTCCTTCCATCCACTGTTGACAGTCTGGCCCAGGTCTCCCCAGTTTCCCAGGCCCTACCATCTCTCCGGACACCCGCCCAAAGGGGACTTCCAAAAGGGAAATCTGACTCTGCCCTCAGATCCTCCTCAGGCCCTGGCAGCTTCCCTGCACCCTGACTTAGTCCCTGATGAGTGAGAGGGCCTGGGAACACTGCCTGGGGCCTGAGAAATGGATGGAGCCTTTGATTCCCTGGCCTCTGCCATTTTCCACTCAAGCTGGGCCAGTGATAATAGATATGCCTGGCCTTAGTCATACTGGCTAGAGAAGCTTGCACACATACTCACTCATGTTTACACTGTCACTTGAGCACATGGCACTCACACACACACACACACACACACACACACACACACACACACGTAACCCCACAAGAGTGCACAGAACTCCTACGCATACAACTATATGTACACAAGGCTTCACACATGTGAATGCAAGCTTCAACACACATCACACACACACATAACCTAAAGACACACGCTACTCACATATCACATGTATACACATGTGTAGGCAACAGGGGTAACATGCAAGATGAAAACAGGTATGACATCAGGTATGGAACTCTCCCTGTAAGTTCCAGATGAGAAAGGTCACTTGCGCCCGAGTTTGAGGCCAGCCTGGGCAACATAGAAAGACACTATCTCAGAAACAAAAACAAAACCATATGGCAAGGGCATGATACAAACAGACAGCAGGCCTTAGTACTACCTCAGTGCTGGCACAGGCTAAACACTTGCTGAAGAGCAGCCTAGCACACACCTCCACAGCCTTGTGGTCTTGTAAGAGGTCGAGCAAGTTCACACACAGAAAAAAGCTCACATCCTTATTCTGTATACATTCATGCATATGTCACGCACACACTCATGGCTTCACACATACACAGCTCTCATCACACATATACATATGTGCAGAGGTAGGCCTCAGAAGAGAAAATGAAGGGTCCATCCCAGGGCAGTGCCAACCTCTGAGGGGTGGAGGGCCAGTGTCTTCAACCTGAATCTATCTCGGTCTTCCAACTGGACACTGGATTGATCTCTGAGTTTGAGAGAATGGATTCTAAGACCCCATTTGGATGATAGAACTCATGGATTCATGGTGCTTAGAGCAAACCTGAAGCCTGACTCTCCCCACTTAATGTAACAACTCCACACCCAGCATGGCTGAACCAGCCAGGACACAAACTCAGAGTACAGCCTGGCCACCAGCAAGCTGCCATGTGGCTGACATGCTCTGCCCCTAGGCCTGCCAACCTGTAATTGCAGGGACTGGCATGGGGCACAAGGGCAGCAACTGGTCTCCAGGGGCCGGCAACCACCCAACATCCTGGTAGGCAGGCAGCTGGAGAGCGAGGCAGCAAAGGCACAAGCTCTGGGGTCCTCCTGGGGAATCCTGTCGGGTTGTGGGCTTTCCAGGTAGGCTGTGCTGTCGTGCAAGAAGAGACAACTGCTAGATGCTGGCAAGAAGGTAGAAACCTACTCCCAGAAGGGCAGTGGGCTTCTCTCTCCCTGCTGAGGCAAGCCTGGAGACAGGGGACTGGCTATTCCATCCCAGAAAGCAAAAAGCAAAAGGGCTTATCTGAGAAATCCTCAAGGGCAGTGTCAAGAAGTGATGAGAGCTCTGCAGGGCTGGGGCACCTGTGCAGCCCA